TGAGACTTGGTGCTGATTAGTCTATTTGGGTTGGTTTGGAGCAGGGTTCTCTTTTGCCCTGCGTAATCTGCTGTAACAAGCCCTGTGGATTTCTGTGTCTTTGTTGAGCATACTCCATGATCCTGTCCCATCCATGAATCCATAATGGTCGGCACCCATGATGGTTTCTTCTAGGCTACACTTGATCTTAGCTACAAGGTCAAGAAGTGATTGCACTAGACTTAGATAGCATTTTCTTTTTAAATTTTCTCCACTATTGGTGGGTCTTCCCCTATGCTCTGGGGCCTGTGGGCTGTTCTGCCTTTCTCCTGGTCCCTGAAGCCTTTATTCCCTAGGAAGCGGAGACCAGGTTGGGCTATATTTCTTCTTCCAGCATGTACCCTTAGATAGGCTTTCTTGGTTCCCCTACTTTGGCTACAGTTTTTCTTTGTAAAGATTCATTTCATTTATTTGCAAGACAGAGAAGGAGAGAGAGAGAGAGACAGAGGAAGAAACTTTACACCTGCTGGTTCATTCCCGGAATGGCCACATGCAGATCTGGCTTGAATCTTGGCCATGCTGTTTGCTGCACTTCCTTGGTAGGAGGTGGGGGAGGCGGGGGCAGAGGAGGTAAGAACTTCTCCGTGCCTTGGTTTCTTCCTTCCATTTAGGGCTAACAACAGTACCTATCTCACAGGCTTGAGATGAGGATCACGTAAGAAAGTACTGATGAAGCGTGCAGTGCTTGGCACGTGGTACTCATGAGACAGTAAATGCTGTCAACACCATTCTTGCTGTGGTAAAGGCATCACTGTTGGAAGCCATTCAGGGAATTATAAGTGTGGAGGGAAGGTAAGAGGAAGGGGCGACATAGCAGCTGCACGTGAGAACCATCCCCACACACGGAGGAAAATGTGGTACTGGAAGTGTAGGGCAGATTGGGAGTGCCAGCCGAGAGTGTGAGATAGAAGAAGAAATGGGAGTGGGGACAGGGGGTACAAGAGAGGGTGCAGCTTCTGCAGGGGGCAGAACGGGCTGACCAAGGCTCATATCTGTGAGGTGGGACAGATGGCTCTGCCCCAGCTCCTCTGATGCCTCAACAAGGCAGCTCGAACACTTGCATTGTTCCTACAAGTCTCACAGTCACAAGTCTGACGACCCAAAATAGAATCCTTCCCAGGCCGCATCCCTCCCTGCTTCTCTGCAACTTCATCAAATCAAACAGTAGCTCAATGTGAAGGTCCCCTCTGCAGTGCGTGCTGCTTAGTTCTCCCAATGAAGGCCAGCCTCGCGGATCAAGTTGTGAGCCATGGCAACACGCCAGGGGTGGAGAGTGCCAAGCCTCTCACTGTTGACCTCTGTCAGGGGCAGCAGGTGTTCTATGAGATCTCCTCCCTCTGAAGCTGGGGGCAGTGTGCTCAGAAGGCACATCAGAGCTGAGTCCTGCCCTCTTCTTCACTCAGGAGTCCCGCAGTTCCCCTGGAATCTAACATGGAGAAGCACCTCCTGTGTGGGAGGCATCCCGCTGGACACAGGAACTGCTTCTACCACTTTTCTCTTAAACACCCACATCCACTCACTAGGAAACCCTGCTGGCTCTGCCTTCAAAATATGGGTTTTTCTCAACATACCGTTTCCATTGTTCCTACCCTCATCCAGACGCCCATCTTGCCTAGACAATCACAGTCATATCAAAATAGCTCTTGGCTCTGTCTTTGCCCTCCTGTAGTTAGTCATTTTTAAAAATATATTTGCTAATTTTTATTTTAAATAGTTACAGAGAGTGGGAGAGACAGAGAAAGAGATCTCCCATCCACTGGTTCACTTCCCAAATGGCCACAAAGGCTAAAGCTGAGCCAGTCTGAAATTGGGAACCAGGAGTTTCTCCCAAGTCTCCCATGTGGGTGCAGGAGCCCAAGCACTTGTGCCATCTTCTGTTGCCCTCCCAGGCCATCTACAGGCAGCTGGATTGGAAATGGAGCAGCTGCGACTCAAACCAGCACCCATGTGGGATGCTGGTACCACATGCAGAGTTTTAACCTATGGTACAGCACCAGTCCCAAAGTCATTCTGTCAAAATACATGGTAGGATAGGAGGGTTGTGACAGGAAAGGAGGCAAGAGAGTGGAAACACCCCAGATTTGAAATATCTTGGTCCACATTTGAATCAAGTATAAGCAAAGTTGGTAAGGGAGGGAGTCAGGCCATTTTCTGGGGGCAAGAACATTCCAGGCCAAGGCAACAGCAGGTGCCAAGTTCCTGGTGAGGTGGCAAGGGCCTGGAGCGCTGGAGAGACAGGAGCCATGCTGCGGGAGTGGAATGGACAGGGGACAGGCCCTGAAGGGACTGTGGCCAATCAATATGGTGGGGTGGGAGCAAAGCTTGGGCAGGATTTTGTGGGTAATACAGCTGAGGTCCGTCCACCTGGGGATGGATGCCTTTCATTTATGTCACTTATTTAGCATTTCAAATATGGCAACCATGTGTTTGGCACCAATCTGAGTACTGAGGTTATAACAGTGATAAGGAAAGGGGACTTAGTCCTTACTGTGGCATGGAGCACACAGTTGAAGCTGAAAGAGAAGTTGTCCATTAATGAGACAATCCTATAGCTGAATGCATCATTACAGGTTGTCACAACCACAGACCTTTCAAGAGCAATAATGGGTTCTGCCCCATTTGAGGGGGGCTTCAGAGAAGGTTTTCATATGGTAGTAAATCTAGTCTGAGCTCAGATGGGTGGGATGTAATAATGGGAAAAATATGCTTGCCTGCAAGAATGCCAGGGGGCAAAGATCCTGAGAGGAGGTGAGACCCAGATAGAGGCCACTGATGCTAAAATAAAATGCAAAGGAGAGAAAATGTGCAAAAAGGGGATGGAGAAGGAAGACAATTTGAGCCATTCGGGGCTGTGGGAAGAATTTAGATTTTTAATCCTATGAACAGTGTGAACTCACTGAGGAGTTTTAATCAGAGAATGACATCGGAATCGCTTTGGAAGGCCAATGTGGGTGATGGGTTAAGCTGGCAGGGCCAGTGGGTAGGAAGCTAATATCATAGCCCAGGTGAGAGGTGATGGTAGCTTGACCTGGCAAGATAAATGGGTGCTCTCAAGAGACAACTTGGGGTAAATTCTGCGGTAGTCCAAAATAATGACTGCATCCAGATACACTAGAGGAAGAAAAGCCAGACCCTATAAGCCTCATGGTGTGGTGCAACACGGATAACCTGTGCAGTTTGCTTGCCTGAAAAATTGTCACTGAACTGCATCAAGTCCTCAGATGTGGGAGCTATTTTACCAGAAACACACACAGTAGAAGCCTAGATCAAATGACAACACTGGGAGGAACAGATCGGCCAAATAAGAGCATGACACATTCCAGCTAACATACAATGTGACATTGCATATAAATCTATGACACAAAATGGAAGGAAAAATGAAGCAAAATAAGGCAGTGTTATATCCTTTATGCAATGTCCACACCTCGCTTGGGTCCTGACTCAAGCAAACTGAGAGACATCTTTGAAAGAAGGCAGAGTCTGGGCTGGGCCGGGAGGAGTCATCTGTGCTGTTGGCCTGGGGTTCTGTCACTGCCCGAGACATAAAGTCGGTGCAGGCAGAGACTGAGCCCTAAGCATGGATCAAGAACTCAGGGAAGGAAGGAAGCTTTATGCGAAGGAAACCTGGGAAGACTTGAAGAACTGGAAATTTTGTGACAGCGGAGAGGCAGCCTGAATCAGGGGATCACAGATGCCACAGGAAACCAGTGTCTCCAAAGGGAGGATGTGGGTGAGGCAATTAAATGCTGCCAAAATATCAACCAGGGTGAGGACCAAGATAAGTCCACTGGCCAGGTTTGGTAGCCTGGAGGGTGCTGCCTAAGTGAGGCCTGTTGAGGATAAGGGACAGGTGTGAGATGAGGTGTGAACTGGGAGGTGAAAAGGAGATGAGCAGGCTCGGCAGCTCCTTGAAGGAGTCTGTGAAGTGAGAAAAGGGAGGTGGCTCGAGAAGACAGTGTTGAGGGCATAAGTCTTTATTATTACTTTAAAATGAGACATTGTTGATGCATTAAAATAATGAGGATGGATAGGAGAAAGGACAGTCGAGCAAGCAAGTCCTGAGAAGACAGAAAGAGGACCAGCACTCCTGATTCTGCAGGTAGCACAGAGCCAACCACATTCTTCCTCTGCTGTTCATCCTCTCTGAGAAGGAGATGATGCCACTTATTGGTGGGGAAGGGGAAGTTAGGGATTAGAGGTACCAGGATCTCAGGGGCAGTAGAAGCTGGTGGTAGAAAAGGCAACGTAAGATGTCTGGATGGCCTGAACAGGTGGAGGTGGTGATGATGGTATGAGAGGAGAGCGTGGGTGGTCAACTGAACCAAGAAGGCAAGGATGGCATGGGTGATCACCATGGGAGCAGCCCTTGTGCCTGGTGAGGGTCTTCAAGGAGGAATGCTGACGTAGGGCCATGAGCACATGATTTTCATGGTGAGATCCTGAAAGTGGTGCTTGATGTGTTGTCAACTCCAGATGCTGCAGCTTACTGCCCCTGCCCTGCCCTGCCCTGCCCTGCCCTGCCCAGGAAGCAGGACCCCTCCCACCTCCCATGCCCAAATTGAACATGCTTTCAAAGCCCATATCAGAAGTGTTTGCCAAATTAAACATATGCTGTCCTTCCCATTTGTTGCTGAAAGTGACAGAATGGCAAGTTGTGTGGGATGTGGCAGACAGGATCCTACCTGTCCTGAGGACTTGAACAGGAATGAGTTTTGATGGCTTAAGTCTGCAACCAGCCTTTCCCCATGACTGCTCCCACAGAGCCCTAGCACCCTCTCCCCATCCCTTCCCAGACGCACCCTTCTCTGCACGACTTGAGTTGCCCACATTGTCTCTGAGGTTGCTCTGATGAGTGGCAGCTTTTGGCAGCAGCCATCACCCACTTAGGAGCCCTAGATCCCTTTGCAGACCTATTGGGAGGACAGGGCAACGCACTTAGTAGGCATCATTTCTCTTTCTAGCTTAACTCAGGTGATTCGAAAGTTTGCCAAGCAGCTGGATGAGTGGCTGAAAGTGGCCCTCCATGACCTCCCAGAAAACCTGCGCAACATCAAGTTCGAATGTAAGTACGGAGGGTGGGAGCAGACTTGTTAATGACATGCTAACAGCAGCAGCTGCCAGGCACTGTTAGTCTACAAAGTAGAAGCCAACAGGCTAAGAACTTTATATGCAAACATTTACTTACTCCTGGTAAAATGTTTACTGTACATGGCACAAGGAGAAGGAATTGGGCTTAGAGAGGTGTTAAGTGGCAGAGATAGGAACGGCTAGATTGCTTGGTCAGAGGCCCATTTCTGCTTATCATCACTCATCTTGTTTGATTCACCCCTGCAACAGAGGAAGTAGTGTCGGGCAAGTTAACTGACCTCCACGCTCTGAGATGCTCTTGAAGCTCGTGCCCACGGGACAGTGGCGGCCAGAGAACAGCACGTGGGCTTCGTGTCCTCTCGGTCTAATTATGAAGCCAAATTCTATGGGGAAAACCAGTAGCAGGTTTCTGGCTTGGGGAAGACTCAGGTGCAGCTCGATCGAGGCTACCAACCAAAGACCAAACAATGTTTAAGCAAAACCAAGTTTTCAAACATTGGTTTCTCAAAGTTGCATTCTGAAAACAGCCCTCCAGATCCTGCCCCAAATAAGTGCTAGCAAGGGAAAGGAAGGCGATCAAATTACCCTCTCTCCCTCTCTGCAGGCCAAGCTGAGCCCTTTCAGAGGCCCCTGGAGGCTGCCTGCGGTGCCCCTCACCCATTGAGAAAGCCTGCTTTATTTCACGGCTCTCAGTTCTTTTCTTTTCATGGGCACTAAATTCCACATCACAAAGTTAAAGAAAAAGTAATTAAGGAGAAGGATTAACGATTGATCGGCCTGGAAAATTAGAAGTTCATCTCCCACCTCCCCCGCCCATTCCTCCACCCCACACCCTTTTCCTTCAAACCAAGCTGGCTCTGTGTACAGATTAGAATAATCCTAGGGAAATGTCTATTTCTTGACCAGTTCGGAAATTAATGAGAAGAATGCCTTGCACCCATTTTAATTACGCGGACGAAACCAACCTGTCCCAGAGTCCTGGAGGAGGTGTGCTGGGCCTGCCACCTGTGTGTGCCTGTCCCCGCAGGACCTGGCAGTGCCTTGGGGGAGTATGCAAGGTGTGGAAACAAAGACCTGGGGCTTAGTCAGGCACATGTCTTGTCTGCTTTCCAATCCCATCCACAGACAGATCTCCCCACTTGACAGGGTCAGCATTAGAAGCAGGAGTATTCCTGTCAGCAGTGATCGCTACGCAACCCACCCCCGCCCCTCCAAGAATCCTGAATGGGGCACGGAGACCATTTGGTTTGAATGCCAAGCCATGTTCAAGGTGCTGCCAGGGTTCTATCGGAGATGCATCTGCTAGCCACCCCCTCCCCCGCCCCCAACAATACTGAGGTTCAATCGGGGTTTCCTATTAGACACACTACTTTTTAAAGGGGCTTCTTCAAAGCTTCCACTTGATTCTTAGCAATTATTTGTGAGGAGAATGTTTGAGCTTGCAATTAGCAAAATGAAAGACAAGCAAATAATTCCTCTTACTCACGGTTGATTGATGCCATCACTCCTCGCACCTGTGAGTGTGTCATGTGTGTGATTCTGAAATCTGTACACCAAATGTCGCCATTAGGAAATGGCTGCGGAAGCCCAAGCAGGAGAACAAAGAATCAAATGCAAAGTTTTGCCAGTTGGGGTATGCAAATGGGATTGGGCACACAGACAACCTGAGGCGAAATGAGAATAGAGCTTTTTAAAATTGGCCTCAAAATACCAGGTACCCTCATCAGCATGCGAATATTTCAAACTGTCTCTTTTCTTCTTGCAGTGTCGAGAAGGTTTTCCCAAATTCTGAGACGGCAAACATCACTAAATCATCTTTGCCAGGTAGCTGTTCTCTGCCACGTGTATTCACCACTGTTAAGTCACTGCGAACAGGGGGGCAAATCCGCAGAAACAGAACCTGTCTGCTTGCTTAACAGGGCACTCCATGTTTTCATTTCTACAGATAATTTAACAAAAAAAATTAAGCTAATAACCAGTTTCAACTCATATACAAAATAGTATCTAACGTGAAACATGTCTGAACCTTTCAAATATGTTCTAGATCTACAATTTTATGTTTCCCTTAAGTTCAGCCCCAGCTCCCACCGCACACTTTATCGGTATTTGGGACAGGATAATTGTTGTAAAGTTGTTTGTGTGTCCAACTAGCAGATGTCAGCAGTCCCACCCCCCGCCGCCTATTTAACCACTGAATCAGAGGATGATTTGTTATTTGTTATGTCATCTAAAAGTTCAGAGCCCCACCGTCTGTTAAATGTTTTCCTCATTTTTCTCAGTGTTCCATGTCTGCATTATTATTATTTTTTTAAACACAAAAGTGACATATGGTTATTCTAAAAGCCTCAAGTATGTAGGTGTGTGAATAAAATCTGTGTGGAAGATCCTTCCCCACTCCCCTGTCTACCCTGGAGTTCCAACTGGATGGCATATTGCTTTACATTTCTATTAATTTGTACTTTAAGGAAGATTATCTGCTAAAGCAACCCGTGCAGGTGTCATGATAATTGACCTCACAGAAGGGTCAGCAGATAGCCACAAGCCAAATGTGGCCTTCAAATGCTTGGGGTTGTTGTTTGATTAGCATTGTTAAACACATTGTTTTTCACTTGTTATTAATAGTTAACACCTGGAGATAATAGCCAAACATCCACATTTTCTATAGAAAAATTTGAAGAGCTAAACTTGTCCCAAAGCTGTGTTTCCCTAGGAGGGCAGCCAGCTAAAGGCATCCAGGTCTCCCCAGGAAGCACTGTCCTGGTCACACCAGCTCCTTCTAAGATTTACTAATTTATTTGAAACACAGGAAGAGAGAGAGAGAATGAATATTGAGCTTCCATCCACTGGTTCACTTCTCAAATTGCTGCAGTGGCTGGTGTTGGCACAGGCAAAGGCCAAACCTAAAACTCCATCTGTGGGTCTCCCAGTTGGGTGACAGGAGCCCAAGCACTTGGGCCATCTGCTGCTGCCCTCCCAGATGCATTAGTAGGGTGCTGAATTGGAAGCAGAACAACCTGGACCTGAACAGGTGCTCTTGTGGAATGCTGGACTCAGGTTGTGGCTTAACGTGCTGTGCCACAGCATCAACCCCAAGTCTCTTTCTTACACTTGGCCCACTCATTCATGTATGTCTCCTGTTTGTGTTTGGCTTTGTAACTTCTTCTTAAAGTGTTGCTGGTACTGGTTGGATGCTGGTTATTCAAATCAAGGCTTCCTGTTAGAGTGGCCTGAAGCAAGGCCCAGGACAGGGTCCACCCCAACACAGCTCATGGTTCCTGCCCCAATTCTGGCACAGAGAGCTCGGGGAATTACTTAGAGACCAGAAGAGAACCCTGCTAGATTCACACAGACTGCTACAGAGGCTACCTGGGACGCTGTTGTGGGTATGTGCAGAGTCTGACAGATTCAGGGAAGAAAATGAATATTAATAATAACTTTTAAACCTGCTGTCATGTTTCTGAGGTGCATGCCAGCTTGGCCTTCTAGTCGTTTTCTCCAACCTGGCAGAGTGGTTTTGGGGTCTTCTCTGGCAATTAGATAGAGTTTTGGTGCTTCTTTCTGGGGCTGAGATAGTTGAGGAAGGACTTGGGCCTTTGAGTGCACTCGTAAGTAAAATCATCCACACCCAGCCTGGAGCCGCACAGACACAAACACATTCCGTCTCTACCTTCTTCATACGGATGGCGTGTAACTGAGTCAGCAGGTGCCTCCTTGTCTGCACCGGACAGCTCTTAGACACATGTCTCCCCAGTCAGGTGCCATGTTGGAACGGAGGCATTGTGCAGCACTGGCTAACATCCCAGGAGCTTTCCTAGCCATGCACATGCACATGACATCCAAGCGAGGATGTGCCCTCAAATACCCAATATTCCCAGATCCTACTTCATCCAGATATAATCCATACTCATGAAATTTCGCACTCATCACTCAACTATTTAGTCAACAAAATCCCTAGGAGAGCCTGCTGCAAGCCAGAAACACTGCTTAGTGGTACCTGCCTTCAACTGAAAAACAAAAAGTAAACAACAAAAAAATAATTATAAGTCTCAAGTGTTATCAAGGAAAAAGAATGGGAGTATATGACATTCAAGTCCTGTTTAGATAAAGCAGAAAACGGCTCTCTGTGTGTTTGTGCCATTTAAGCTGGAGCATCCATGAGCCAGGGTTGAGGACGCAAGATGGGAAAAGCATGTCCCATAGATGCACGATGCTGGAGGTGTCTACACCCTGAGGACCAGCAAGCAGCTGTAATGTGCTCTCAGCCCCTGCACTGGGCGCTATGCCTGCCAAACCTTATCTCCAGGGTCACCCAACACTATTCCATCTCCACCTCTAGGTCATCACTGTGATTAATCTCCTCCCCTGCCCCAAATCAGTCTGTTGCCAGCAGCAAAGTCAAGACTCTGAACCGGGTTTGTTTGCATCCAGACACCTGACCTTTACATTTGGTTATTTCCATCATTTTATTACAGACTGGCCCAACCCATACACTCATATGTTCCAGGCCTTCGTGACCTTCCACAGGTTCTACAATTATTTAAATAGGATTTGACTTGTGCTGGGCCAGTCTGGGTGGAACCAGGGGTTGTCCAGTATTTATCTTTTTAGCTTTGGAAGTTTATAAGCATTAGGAGATTTACAAGATCCTTGTGAATTTTGTGTCTTTTAAAAATGTTATTTTAAAACATGCAAATAAGGGAAATGAGGCTGAAGATAAGATTTTTTTTCTTTTGTCAGGAGTATACCAATTTGGTGATGTTTCTCCAAGTGTTCCAACTAATAAATTTAGGTTCACTAATGAGGGTTTGCTGGGAAGCTACAGCTTTAAAAGGTGCACACATACATGCAACATACAAAATGCACTCCACACATACCACAACATACACCACACACGGAAACATCACACCCCACACACATCACACACACAGATCTGAGGTAAAGCCTCTTTTTCCTCCATCTTAGTTATTCCTATTTATTTAATCATCCTTTACTTTAAACAAAAAAAGGGAACACCAAAACCTACACTGCTTCAGGATGCATTTATCTCACCAGCACACAGTTTGAAATCTCCGGTGCAAATCTATTAGGGGGTCACAGGAATATTCTGACACCTGGGCCCGCAGCTTCCCCGGCACTAGGGCAACACAGGTTATGCAGCATAGAGCTCCCATCTGCAAGATCTCATCAGAAAGCCCATGGATCCCTGGGCGTCATCAGGTTGTTCTCTGGGATCAGGCCCAAAGGGGCTGGAACAGCAGCCCTTGGTCTGGCCTAGGCCACCTTGGTGGTTTCTTACAGAGAGGCAGGGCTAGGGAGAGAGACCCACGGGAAAGCGTCTACATCCCTTGAGTTAGGGAAGCAGCTGCTGCTCTCCTGCCAGTAGGCTTTCCCAAATTACCAAGTGGTTTGTAAAATACCCTAAGTAGATTTCCTAAGACATGGAAGGGAATAAAGATGAAGGGGTTTTAACCGAAGCGATGCTTGGATTGGATTGCAGGCATCTCGAACGGTGATCCACAGTGCAGATATCACATTCCAAATGCTGGAAGACTGGAGGAACGTGGATTTGAGCAGCATCACCAAGCAAACCCTTTACACCATGGAAGACTCTCGCGACGAACACCGGAAACTCATCATCCAGTGTAAGATGTCCCGCCGGAGGGTGCTGGGTTTTGGTTTCTGTTTTTGTTTGTTTGTTTATTAATTAGTTGGAGAGACATAGAGGAAGATCTTCATCTGCTGGTTCACTCCCCAAGTGACCACAATGGGCAGAGCTGAATTGATCTGAAGCCAGGAGCCAGGAGCTTCTTCCGGGTCTCCCACACAGGTGCAGGGTCTCAAGGCTTTGGGCCGTCCTCAACTGCTTTCCCAGGCCACAAGCAGGGAGCTGGATGGGAAGTGGGGCTGCTGCTACATGAATTGGCACCCATATGGGATCCAGGCAAGTGCAAGGCTACAGCACCGGGCTCATTGGTTTCTGATTTTTAAAGAAAGCCAAAATAACTTGGTCACTATTTCAGTGGCACTTACCATCCCCTCCTCCCTGGGATCCTCTCCTTCATATTGCCCCTGGTAAATGGATTGGCACAGTTGGGAAGGCTGACTGACTTAAGAGGACATGTGTGTCAGTACCACTGGGAGAAGCATTCTTGTGCAACAGGGCAGCACACAATACAGTGCAAAGGACCCTGTGTGTGACCCCAATCACCATGCCTTGATCCATGGAAGTGGGGGAGAGGGGGGAAAAGCTGACTGCCTTTCTTGCCATATGCTAGCTTGGAGGCACTGGAACCACTGCCTACTTTTTCAGCAGAGGGCCCATGAGTCAGCCCAGCTCTTGGCAAGGTGAACCTTTTCCACTGCACTCAACTTTTGAGAAGGGGAGAGCATGGTGTGTAAACTTTTGGGCATAAGTTCACACCTCTATGGACAAAGACTTCAACCTACAGCTACAGGCAAACTGCTCCAAATGCCACCCTGATGCCAGTGGCACATTGTTTTCTCCTAGCAGTAAGCCAGGATGACCCTGCCACTGTGCCAGCAGATCACAGCCACCCACCCCAGCTGACTACCTAGAGCACGCTCACAGCCCAGGGAGCCCAGCTACCACTCTATACTGTGGTCAGCCTTCCTTCTTGACACTTAGCAGGCAAAAGGGGACAGGAGGGCAAAAAGGATGACTCAGAGCTCCTCCTTTGGGTCTCAGAGATTGGTGCTGAGAGCACAGTGGGGGGCAGGAAGGGTGGAAAGGAGATGAAGTCCACTGCCCACTCCCAAACTCAGAATGGGGCTCGGTCCCAATAATGACATGGGGGAGGGAGCTGTCCCACCAAGAGGGAACTGTTGTGGAAGGCTCAGGCCGCCTCAAGAGTTCCAGCCATATGCCACCTGCAAATATTGTCATGAGAAAATGTCTTAAAGTCACCCCATCCAAGTCTGTGGTACTTTATAAACAAAATTCCCTGTATGTCCCTATCCCATTCAGCCCTTTTCAAAAGCAAATGGGCCATGTGGACCTGCCCCGGGAAACTTACTGAGAGAGCTAATGATGGTCCCTAACATGATGACTCAGCCTATTGCCTGCCTACTACTAGCTGGCATGTGCCAGCTCCCATGGCTGCTCCAGCACATGCATGACTTCATTGTATCTCCAGGTCTGTGAGGAAGGTACTCTCAGCCCTTCCAGAGCCAGTAAGCAGCAAAGCTGGATCTCAAACCCACATCTATTCCCAACTTCCCATCAGGCACTAGTGCGGCTCATGTTGCCAAGGAGCAGAGGAGACAAAAATAAATGGGAGTGAGCTCAGAAGTTCTGGGATAGGGTAGGCATTTGGTACAACCATTAAGTCGCCATTTGGGGATGCCAACAGCCCAGGTAAGAGTGTTATATTTGAGCCTTAGCTGCTCTGCTGCCAATCCAGCTTCCTGCTGGTATACAACCAGGGCAGGTAATGACTCAGGTTCTTGGGTTATCCCCTGCCACCCACGTGGGAGGCCTGGACAGAGTCCTGACCCAACTCTGGCTGTTGTGGGCATTTGGGAAGCAAACCAGCAGATGAAAGACAACTCTATCTCTCAGTTTCAGTCTTCTCTGCCTTTCAAATAAAATGAAAATAAATACATTTTATTTTATTATTATTTTTAAATATATACTTGTTTATTTGAGAGAGTTAAAGAGAGAGAGGGAGAGACAGAAAGAACTTCCATCTGTCAGTTCACCCCTCAATTGGCTCCAACACAGAGCTAGATCAGGCTGAAGCCAGGGGACTCAAGTTTCCTGTGGATTTCCCACACAAGTGCCAAGATCTCAAGTGCCTGAGCCATCCTTCCCTGCTTTCCCAGGCTCATTAGCAGGGAGTTGGATCAGAAGTGAAGCAGCAGAGGCATAAAGCAGCTCACATATGGGATGTTGCCATCGCAGATGGTGGTTTAGTGTGATAGACCACAATGCCAGCCAAATTTTGAAAGATAAAAAGAAGTTCCAGAATCTTTCCAGGTGCTCAATCAAGTTTCCTGTTCTGCTTTTCCCTCTGCTCAGTTAGACAGTCAGCAGAACGCATGACTCTGGGCACCCTAACAGCACTAGGGATCTCTCATCATTACTTCCCCCTAACCTCCCAATAGGCCAGACACAGAGCAGGTGTCCGGTGGTGCCCATGGAGACCTGAGAAAGTGAGTTATAAACCCCGAGTGACCCTGGTTCTTAGCTCTGCTAACCACTCCTAGCAGCTTGAGATTTGCTTCTTTCCTCCCCTCTGTGCCATTGATGATGAAAGAAACATGCGAGGAAGACCTATAGGGAAGCATACAATGAGCCAGGGCCAGCTGGCGGGAGCACCCCACGCCTGTGCTGCAGTGCTGCAGAAGGCACTGCTGTGTTTCTCTCTCCTGTCAAGGGCCTTCTCATGAAGTCCCGTTAGGCTCAGGACAACAGGAGTGCCCTTTCCAGCTGTGGAGATAGTCTTCTTCTGGGGACAGAAGTGATGTGGCTCCATTCAACCTGGCTGCTCCTTATTGAATGTCCAGGGTTGGACTCTGCTGCATGCTGGGCAGAGTAGTGAGTAACAGGGACACTGCCCTTCCCACATGGAGGTTAGATTTCATGGAAAGTCAGAAGCTGAACAAGTAACTTACATGTGTGTTGCATCTTAATAAAGAGGACAAGGCTATGTGATACAGTTCCAAGAAAGGAAAATTGAAAAAAGATACCAAGCTGGAAGGCAGATGGCCTAGCACATGGTCTCTGCACTTTCCAAGCAGACAGCTAGAAATCCCTGAACACACAAAGAATTGGCCCAATGTCAGATTGAGTAGGATTAGGGGAAACTGTGTGCTACACTTTGCTTTTCTCATAACCAGTTAACAAAGCTTCACATTCTTTTTATAGGGGTTAACCACTACATCTGTGATGATATAGATTCTTGCCGGGAAGGCTTGACTCAACTTGGATTCAAAAAATACACATGAATTTTCCAGCACACCGTGACCTTGGTTTCCAACTTTGTTAAGTAGGAATAACACAGAGGAATGAAATGAGACTGTTTCTGTCACATGCTTAGAACACAGTACAAAGAGCCCAGTGGCATTGTAGCATTACATATATGCACTGGTTCATGTCCTGGCTGCTCCATTTCTGACCAAGCTTTCTGCTAATGCTTCTGGGAGGGCAGTGTAAGAATGGCTCAAGTGCCTGGTCCACAGTATCCACATGGAAAACCCAGAAAAACTCCCAGCTTTAGCCTGGCCCATCTCTGACTATTGGTGCCATCTGAGGAGTAAACCAGCAGAGCGAGTCTCTTTCTCTCTCTCTCTCTCTCTCTCTTTCTCTCCCTGTATTGCCCTGCTCTGTCTGTATCTCTGCATCTCAAATAAATTAGAAAATCTTAAAAAAAAAAAAAAGACGCAGTATAGCACTAGTACAGAGATGCTTAGCAAGCAAGTACTTGATTCAGGCTGCAAATGCTGGGCAACTTTTGGAAAGCTTGTCACCGTTAAGTGCCTTAGTTTCCTCATTTGTAAAATAGGGAGAAATAATGGTGCCAACCCCCTTGCATTGTTCAGCTACTCATTCAACAAATACTTGAGCACCTGTTCTGTACTGTGCTACGATGAAACAGTGAACACAGCCCAGTCATGCCCTCCTGACATCTGTGTTCTAGAGCTTGTCTTAAAGTTACACAAGTGTGCCCAGGTAAAACAGCTGAGAGAGGACCTGTGCGTGGCAAGTATGCAGGCACGTTAACCATCGGCACTGCTAGTATAGCACCCTTGCCATCATCCTGAAAGCACAGAGAGTCAGACGCAGGGTTGGGAAGAGTGAAAGAAACCAGTGCGGAAGTCAACAACCTGGATTCCAGTCCCTTCCCTGTTACTCTTCTACCTTCTGACTTTGAGTCATTTAACCTCATGGAGACATGGTTCATCTGTAAAAAGAGATCAAGATGTTTAAATCTTGAGAGAGACAGAAAAGAGACAGGCACACTTCAATCCTCAAAGGCCCTCAACAGCTGGAGTTCAGCCAACTTCCCACTAGGGGCCAGGGAGCCAGTCCAGGCCTCCCACATGGGTGCTAGGGACATGACTCCTTGCATCTTCACCTGCTGCCTTCCACGGTCTGCATTAGTAGGAAGTTGCAGTCAGGAATGGAGCTGAGATTTGAACCCAGGTACTCGTGATATAGGATGTGGGTGTCCCAACAGTTTGTTTAACTGCTAGGCTAAATGCCTGTCCCAACTAAATGAATGTTTCCAGTTTCAAGTTTTCATTCTAAAATCTTGAAAGCTTCTGATCTTGGAAGTTTAGTTGTTGTAGCAGTCATCCACTATGTTCAATAGAGCAACTGGCCAGTTTTCTAAAAATGGGAGAACAAAATCCCTCAGGCAAATAAAAACAAGGGAAATGTACAGACCGTTTAAATGCAGTCTGTTTTACAAACAAAAACAGTTTAAAAAAAGAGTAATCGAAAGAAATGTTTCCAACTGGAGACCACCACAGTCATGCGTCTATTTTCTGTAGTGCCTCACTGATTACAGAGGCTGTTCATATTCCAAGTGCATGTGGACTGCTGATAGGCTGGCCCACTGCTCACTCAACATCGCTGGGTCCAGAATGACCACATGTGCCCTCCCAGGGGGCGGACAGCAATAAAGCAGCATTACCTTTGCCAATTCATTCAAGCAGCTGCTTACTGGATAATTTATAACAGCTATATCACAGTAATGTTCTAGATACCAAGCACTAGTAGGGAGCCCCACACACACCCAACCACAACAGTGTCCTCTGTGATGTTAACAGGCAGAGGCAGTTCATGAAGGTAAGGACAGCATTTCAGGAGCAGTAAAGAGTTTTGCTGGCAAAGGGTACATGGAAAGGTACATATATTTCATACAAGGGGCGCTCCAGCTTGGCCATGAAGAAGTATGCATATGAACTGCTAAGAAAAGGACTAACACTGGGGGAAGGGCAGGGCTTATGGGTAGAGCATGGGATGGCTAGAGCTTAATGTGTTCACCCACATTCAGAGGCCCCTGGAGGAGGAAGTTTGGACATACATTTTGTAAAGTATTGAATGTCATGCTGAGGTTTTGACATTGTGTTTGTTTTATTTTACTCAATGTTGTTTTCCCTTAAAACTCATCTCGATTTAAGTACAACTGCAATGATTTGTGTTGGGGGGTTCTCCTTGGTTTGACAGTGTACCAGGAGTTTGACCATCTCTTGGAGGAGCAGTCTCCCATCGAATCCTACATCGAGTGGCTGGATACCATGGTGGACCGATGTGTGGTGAAGGTGGGTAAGCTGGAGCTGAAGGGGCAGCCTTGGAGCCCACAGCCCAACCCTGACCTCTGTGAGCACTCAGCTAATGCAGAGTCGGCTGTCAGCTGCCAGGTACTCAGCAGGCATGGCAGTCTGGAGCTCCAAGGGGAGGATTGGTCCCCATGCCCAGAAGCTAGAGGGAGGTAAAAGGCACAACTCTGAACTTCCGATCCCTCATGCAATCAGGTCAGCGGCTCTTCTAGCTGTTGTGTACACTGAGTCCTAGCATGAGATTGCATTTTTGAAGTGCAATTTTCCTGCATAAAACAAAAGGTCTGCAACCATTTCTCCGTAGGGCTGAACTTGGATACCCTTGAGTTCCTATTGTTTTTCAAAGAGTATTGTAAAAGGCCTAGTCAGCCACTATTAAAGCTGTTCATTTTCTTATAGGTGGCCGCCAAGAGACCAGGGTCCCTGAAGAAAGTGGCTCAACAGTTCCTCTTAATGTGGTCCTGTTTTGGCACAAGGGTGATCCGGGACATGACCTTGCACAGTGCTCCCAGTTTCGGTAAGGCCACCCAGCCCTCCCACATCCAAAGCTCTTTGCTCTCCACTCTGGGCACTGAAGCCACCTCTTTGGGGTTAACCACAGTCCTGCTTTCTGTTCTGAGGGCACAGGGTCATCACTCTGAGGGACATCTGTCCTTGGGGCATATGCCATTATTAGGATTTTCAGGAAGAAAGATGACATTGCAGGCCAAGGTGATGTGTCCACACTGAAAATGGGAGGTTTGCATCCAGAGTGTGTTCTGATTTAAAGAGGGTCAGTCGCAGGCTGCTGATTCTACAGGACAAGCTTGTACAATTCCAACACTGAGCACTTGGAAGACACCTCTGAGTTTGAGCATTTTCTTTGCAGATAGCTTGCTTAGCGTTCTTTATTTATTGATTTTGTTTTGTTTTCAAATGATTGACATTTAAAAAAAATATGTAGTCTAATTCAGGAAGAGAGCTTTTGCATTCATTTTCCCTTTTACATCAAGTGACCCCTTGGGCTTTCACTGTCTCTAAAAGATATCCACACCCAAAGTCCTCATCTGTTACTTTCTGGGAATCTTATAACAGGTGTTGCAGCTAGAAATTTAAGCAAAAACCTAAACACTGATTTGGTAAAAGTGCTGTGCCCCATTTCAAGACCCCATTTTTTTGTTTTTTTAATCTTTCACTGGAAAGCCTGAGTGATGTATTGAGTCCAGGTCTTCATTAGCAAAGTAAGATGGGAATTTAAGGCCTGATCTGCACAATCCGAAATCCCAAAACATGTTGACCTCAGTTTGTTAGTCATTCCCAAAGAATTGCTGGTAAATATTGCGGGTAATTGCTTCTGTTCTCTATTTGACTTTGCAAGTAGAGATGTGGTTTCGTTTCTCATTATCCCCAATTAAGCCAGTCAGTCCTGGGTTTTGCTCTGGGTTTAATTTGACACTTTTCCATCTAGCTTTTTATGGTCTTGTCACCATTTTCCAGTTGTGCTACACAATGAAGTGAGTATGTGGCAAAACACAGAAGGGTACTATTTTTTCTACACAGATCTGGCCATGAAAGACTGTGTTTCCCCACTTAGGGAAGCTTTTTGTTGTAGATTTCTTTAATCTCAGCACTGGGAAGTTCTCTGAACCTGCCTGCACCATGGCTACAGACGGGAATTCTCTCCCAGCTGTAGATGGAAATGTTCCACTGACTGCTACCTGCACAGTGCTATCAGGTGTGGCATTTTGATGACTTCCTGTTCAGCATCATTAGTGTTAACATGTGTTACCTCTAGCTCTGGAAAAATCATTCATGCCTAACTACTTTCACTTACGAGAACTGTTGAATAGTATTTGGATTTTTTCAGTGCTTCCAAGAACCATGGATATCACACACGCACACACGTGCACACACACACACACACACACACACACACACACACACACACACACACACACACACACAAAGTGATCATTCTCTCCTTGCTTCATCCCTTCTTTCATTTGCTGATTGTTTAGGTATATCATCAAGGACCATTCATTAGTCAAGACGAATACTTCCCTTTGCAATTCTCTCTGAAATTAACTTGTTTTTACTGAGATGACCATATAAAAAAAGGAAGTTTGGATGGTTTGGATGACAGAACAACTAGGATTTATGACTGGGTTGAATTTATTACTAAGGAATATGGTTCCTTAGAGTATGTTTATTTCTCTTTGATGCATACATTGCTTTAGAATACATTGGAAACTTAAGCAAATGGCCCCAAATGATCACAAATCATTGGGGGAAAGAAGAACTAACCCCATTTCATTTTTACAGCACTTTTCAATTCTAAGCATGTTCAAGTAATACCTGTCTCCAAGTGCATTAGCAGGCTATCTGCAGTGGTCCCCTTCATCTGATTCATTGTTGAATTTTGCAGCTTGGCGTGATAGGCAAATTGAAAGAATTTGTGGCAGACAAAAGCCCAATTCCCCCTTTCTGCCCGCATATGTCAAAGACCCAGTTGGTGGTTGTGTTTGGGTCATGTGTTCCCTGTATGAAAACAGCTAATTAGCGGGGTGGTGGGGAGCCCTCTATTCCCTGGCCCCCTCTCCCGGCTGCAGGGGCCAGCTCTATATATCTGATAACTCCCACATGGTCCTTGTCACCATAAATGGGTGTAGGATTTGTGTGTCAGCGTAGCAGGCTGCCCATTGCAATAATCGCGTGCAGTATCACAGTGATCCATGGGGGACTCTCACCTCTTCCCAGAGCAGCCCTTTTCAAAGGTAGTTGACTCCTTTCTTCTCCTTAATTCCTTTTCACTCTTTTCTCCCTAATTCCTTTTCAATGACAGAGCCTATGCTGTGAACTAAAGAAGCCAGACTATCTTTGCTGCAAGCAGTAGTTTCTGGTGAAATTAGTCAGCAAAGGTAGGCTAGCAGGCAATGAACTTTAGGTCCTAGTGGAGCTGAGCAACTTAAAGTTTCCATTAAAATGCACATGCACACGTCCTATTTCTAGCTAACTCATCTGATTTCAGCCAAGGCACCTGGATCCTCTTGATTCTGAATCTTCACCAAATGCCTGCCTATTTTGCTGTTTGGAACAGCCAAAAGGCAACAAGAGTACCTGAAGTACTTGGACATGAGAGAGTTTACAAAGCAGCCTGGTGTAATCTTGGAGCTGAAGGCAGGATGGCACATCACTCCCATGTTCACCTTTTTGCTGGCTTGTTTTCTGGCCTGGCATCAAAGTCCACTCATTTGTGCAGAGTCTGGGAGGCCAAAGAGGCCACATAGGCACCTGTCAATAAGCAGTACCCTGTTGAAGCGGGCATGACAGACTTCCAAACTGCTTTTCTTATGCTCAGATGTCCTGGCCTGGCTCTCCTTCAGGCAGAATTTGATCAACTGCAGGATCTTGGCAGTCATGGTGTCGTTCAGGCCCTCATCAGCGCTACAAAGCAGAAATTGTTTTCCCTGCAATCAGGAGAGGAGGCTGAGGGCTAGCCTAAGAATTCTCAGCCAAGAGCAGCCTGAGTTCAGCCTGCAATTGTTTCTATGCTGATGTGTCTCACACACTATGCTATACTGCCACCATCGTACTACCTTTCCTTAGCCAAACAGTAATAACAACAAGGCAACATTTATTGGAGAGCTGCTGTGCATCAGATGTTACTGGGCATGTCCTCATCTACTTCTCACACAACCCTGCGAGGTCTGCATGATTTTCCGCATCATGACCGATGAGGAAGCTGAGACAGACTCTAAAGGACTTGCTTAAGATTCGAGACAATCAAGAAGCAAAGACAGGATAACGATCATTATTGTAACAAATATTTAGAGAGCACTCACTTTCTTAAATTCTCAATTAATTCTGCACCTTCTGACAGAGGTGAGCCCTGGTTTTAAAATCAAAACTGCCTGACCACAAAGCCCAGGCTTTTTTTGATTATCATAATTGGAGCAAATAGCCTAGTCTCAGATACATGTTGCAAAAGGGCAAGACAAATTTATTTAATCCACACATTGATGTTTTAAATCAGATCCATGTATTAAGATAAAAATGTAAAGCCATGAGAGAAAAGAACAATAATTAGAGTGTCATGAGTAATAACGCATGCCGAAAGACAATGGGGTAATATCTTTTAAGTGTTGGGAGCAAAAATCTGCCAGCTATTATTAAAGGGTGAGGGAGGGCAAAATACAAAACATCCTCAGTTACACAAAGACTAAGAGATTAACTTGGCGCCCACAGATATTCACTGAAAATTACCAAAGAGCCAAAAACTTTGAAAAGATATATTTCAGCAGGAAGAAAAACAAAGTCATACCTGTGGTCAGGAACACAAGAAACAACATATTCTCATTATTGTTGTTATAAAACAAATCAGCCCAGAGCTTTGGAGGCTGAAAGAATCATTGTCTGATGTTTATGGATTCTATGCCCAAGATGACCCATCGTACTACATGCACTGTCCTGAATGAGAAACCATCATGTTTTTTGTCATCCATTCTTAGACACAACGCACCTTCCCTTCATACTCTACTGACCAAAGCAGTCACAGCATGGTCACCCCATTTTCAATGAAAGGAGCATCAAAGAATCTGGAAACCCTATTGTCAGATGAGGGAAATGTCAAAATAGTTAAACGATTTCTTGATTACAATTTAAAAACTAAGTTTTTAAAAAAGAAAAAATATATATACACCTGACCTTGCACTGGCAGTACACACAAGAGTCAAATCTGAGATCTCCCCAAGTGAAGTTTCTTGGGGACTCCCCAGTGAGACTATTGTACTCAGACTCTGGCCACAGGGAAAATCACGGGATGTGTGGTCTGACCTTGGAGTACATGTATCAGGACTGGGCCTTCTTAGTTGCTAATGCCTGTGCAGTAGACAGCATGTCCAGATAGATACAGGGGACATGGTGGCCAGCTCATCTACGCCAGTAGGAGATGTCAACTGCCATGTAATGGAAAGCAAAACAGGTTGGACAATTCTCCAGGCCAAACTTTGCAGCATGTTCCTAGGTCTGTGGATTCATTAAGGTAGATTTTCTCAACTAATAGACTTTGGGAAGATTCTCTCAATCCTGGAGCATTGAAACCAATAACTTCTCAGAACTATCAAAACCACTCATGTAACACCCTCGGAATATTCTTCCCCTTATCGGTGTTTCTAAGGTGTCATCAAAGGACTGTCCCCATCCCCAGGTGTCGGTGTAGTTTGATAGTAAGGAGTGAGTCCAACTAGATTTCAGAATTTAATTTTCAAAATATTGGAATTCTCAGAATTAACCTGGAATGTAAATAAATGTGCATGGGTATGTATACTTGTGTGTCTGCTTCATTCATTCAAAATAGCAATGAAAGCTAAGAAAGGACCCAGACACACTTCCAACAAGTCATCTTAAGTTCCTCAAAGAGAAATCTTACAAATATCCTTGAAATATTTTCATGTTGTGGAAGATTCAGTATCAAAAAGGGTAATCCCTTTCAAATGGATGTAAGATTCAATGAAATTCCAGTCCAAATCTCAATGTTTTTTCTTTAATTTATTAACAACCAAATCTTAAAATCTGTGTGGAGAAGCAAAGGCCCAGAATAATATACTTTGAAAGTAAAGCATGATAAGACACGGGGATTTATTCATATACTAAAACTCAGGCTGATTATACAGTAAGGATGTTGACCTGGCACGGTAGCCTCGGGGCTAAAGTTATAGACTTGCATGTGTTGGCATCCCATATGGGCACTGGTTCTAATCCCGGTGGCCCCACTTCCCATCCAGCTCCCTGCTTGTGGCCTGGGAAAACAGTCAAGGAAGGCTCAAAGCCTTGGGATCCTACACCCACATGGGAGATCTGGAAGAGGCTCCTGGCTTTGGATTGGCTCAGCTCCATTTGTTGTGGCCACTTGGCAATGAATCAGGGAACAGAAGATCTTCCTCTCTCTCTGTTTCTCCTTGTCTCTGTATATCTGACTTTCCAATAGAAACAAGTACTTTTTTTAAAAAAAATGTAAAGATGTGCTGTTTCTGTGTTGGACAATTACAGATAGAGAACAAAAATTCTCATGGCAAGCTAAAATGATCTTGTCTTCCCTTTATCAGATTCTCATACTTGAATGTTGTTGATTTATGTTACAGAGTATTAGAATCAATGGAGAAAGGTTTTGATATAGATATTTTAAAGTAAGTAAAATAAAATGTAACATCTTCCCTAATACTTCTCCAAGGCCAGTTCTTTGTTTCCTTGTTAACAACACAGGAGGGTTGTATAGCTGCTTTCCAAGGTGCTGACTGTACTACCATCTGAATCCATTATACATTTCAAAGTTTTTCATTCTAATTCTTTAGTTCATGGTATATTTCTTTCATCTGTTATTGACTTGCATCAGTTATCTCAGTGGATATTTTCTTTAATGTGTTTATTTCTTTTTTAAGTATTTCATGCTGTTTTTTTACTTTCTTGACTAGCTCTATGAACAAATTAGTCATTTTATAGAATCTTGTACATTAGTAGCAAACAGGAACTTAAAGATAATACAAAAATAGCTACCATTTATTAAGCATTCAATGTAGATTTCTCATGATAGTATATTCTGCATAATTTTTCTAAATATTTGTTTGGTTTTTATTGGAAAGGCACATATGCAGAGAGGAGGAGAGACAGAGAGGAAAATATTCCATCCGATGGTTCACTCCCCAAGTGGCCACAATGGCTGGAGCTGAGCCAATCCAAAGCCAGGAGCCAAGAACTTCTTCTGGGTCTCCCACACAGGTGTAGGGTCCCAAGACTTTGGGCTGTCCTTGATTACTTTCCCAGGCCACAAGCAGAGAGCTGGATGGGAAGTGGGGTCACCGGGATTAGAACCAGTGCCCTTATGGGATCCCAGTGTGTTCATCATGAGGACTTCAGCCACTACGCTATCATGCTGGCCCCCTCTGCATAATTTTTGAAATCTAACTTCAGAAGCAGGAACTTGAGTTCAAATCCTGATTCTGCTACCATGTGACACTGGACATTTAATTGACCCTTCTAAGTTTCAATCTCTTCCTCAGAGTATCACCTATCTTCTATGATGTGATAAATATTCAATGTGATAATATATCTTGGGACCAGCACTGTGGTATGATGGACTAAGCCACTTGATGAGATTGGCATTCCATATCAGAGTGCTAAGTCCTGGTTGCTTCCCTTCCAACCATGGGAAACGACAAAAGGTGAGCCAAGACTTGGGACCGTGTCACCCATGTGGTGGGAGACCTGGATGAAGTTCCAGGTTTCTTGCTTCAGCCTGGTCTGTCCTTGGCTGTTGTGGCCATTTGGGGAGTGAACCAGTGAATTAAAGATGGATACTTATCTCATTGCCTTTAAAATAAATCTTAACAAAAAACCTACAATCCTTAAAACAGCAGCTCCCACACAGAAAGGGCTCAATAAAAGTCTATTGTTCCTTTTCACATTTACAGGGGCTAGGATGGTGGAAGTAATTCATCTACTACCTCAGTTACTAAGCGATACAGCTAGGATCTCAATATAGGCAGGTTGATCTCAACGTGTTGCAGTTCCCCATAAAGCCCTGGTTAGCATTTACAGGGCCCACGTGGGCTGGTGGATGTGAAGTTTAGTTGGGAGAATGCACCTCACAATGACTCAGCAGAGCCTGAACCTAAATGGACGTGAGAGGCAGACACAGAAGTCGAGACAGAAGGAGAATGAGGAGGGAACTGTAGGACAGTGGATCTTGGCTTTGAAATCTATGAGCACAAGGAGGAGAGCCTGTGGTAGGCTCCGTAGAGAAGGGCAAGAGAAGGAAATGATGTTTTATTTATTAATTGTGTCATCTTTCACAAGTACTTGACCTGCAAAACAGGATTAAAGTATCTTCCTTACAGGGAGACTGTAGAGATTAAATTAGAGAATATGAGACTGCTACATAAGAAAATGGTTGCCTATATTCTTTTCTATGAAATAATCTCTAAATTTGAAAATGGAGAGTACTATTAAAAACAAAACAAAATAGCTGAAGTTCTGTTTTGTTGGTAAGATCCATGCTTGTCCCAGAATCATTTAAGGGCATATTTTACTTATGAAAATTTAAAATTTGGGGCCCGGCGCGGTGGCGCAAGTGGTTAAAGGTCCTCGCCTTGCACGCCCGGGATCCTATATGGGCGCCGGTTCTAATCCCGGCAGCCCTGCTTCCCTTCCAGCTCCCTGCCTGTGGCCTGGGAAAGCAGTCGAGGACAGCCCAAAGCTTTGGGACCCTGCACCCGCGTGGGAGACCCGGAAGAGGCTCCTGGCTTCGGATCGGCATAGTATCGGCCCGTTGCGCTCACTTGGGGAGTGAATCATCGGACGGAAGATCTTCCTCTCTGTCTCTCCTCTCTGTATATCCGCCTTTCCAATGAAAAAATAATAAAAATAAATCTTTTAAAAAAATTAAAAAAAATAAAAAAAAAAAAGAAAATTTAAAATTTGATTTCTCCCAAGACCATGTCAGGTACACTGACAGAGATGGTGAACTAGAACAAAAAGTCTCTGCCATGGTCATACTTAAAGTCCAGTTGGAAAAATAAGATACGCTTGTCAAAAAGATGAAATGAAAGACTCTGTGTCAACACATATCGAGCAGGGTAAAAGGTACTCAGAAAGAGGCTGGCGGGGGTTGTCAGAGCCCCAAAGCATTTTGACAGGTGGCTTGGTAATGGGCCATCTTTGATAGTGCCATATTAACAGGGCTGTGAAAAGATCTGGTTGTCATAAGGCATTAATGGCACTTCCCTTATGCCCAGCACTAGGCTGGGCTGAAAATACTACAAAGAGAAACCACCTGTGACCATGAGGTATTCCAACATGAATGGAGAAATGAGATTCCCAAAGATGGCTGCAGCACAGTGGGGGGGGCGGTGATGTGACATATCTTGCTGTCTGATCTATCCTCACCAGGGTCTTTCCACCTAATTCACCTGATGTTTGATGACTACGTCCTCTACCTGTTGGAATCTCTGCACTGTCAGGAGCGGGCCAATGAGCTCATGCGAGCTATGAAGGGTGAAGGAAGCACGGGTAAGCCACCATTTGCTGGGACTTGCACCACCTAGTGACTTGATTTTTCTGCTTGCTTTTGTGCTTTGTATTTCTTTTACCTCTGTGCTCCTCCCCCCTAAAAAAATTCAGTTACAGGGAGCTGGTCAACCAGTGATGTCTTTTCAGAGGGGACATCTATGAATAATCGGGACTTCTTTGGATGCCATAATGATGATGGAAACCCATCAAAAGAGTTTTAAGCACAAGACTGATATGGCATAAATCAGTACTGCTATTGCCAGTTCTTTAAAAATCGTTTGCCTTAACACCTGGCATTCAGGACTCACCTTGTCTCTATCCATAGCAGAGGCGCAAGAAGAAATCATCTTGACAGAGGCTGTGCCACCCACACCTTCACCAGTGCCATCGTTTTCACCAGCAAAATCTGCCACGTCTGTGGAGGTGCCACCTCCTTCCTCCCCTGTCAGCAATCCGTCCCCTGAGTACACTGGTCTCAGCACTACAGGTAATAAAAAGTCCCTTAAAAAGCTTTGCATGAGGAGCTGATGTATAGATTTAAAGCAAGGGATTTCGGGAAAACTTCTTCTCTTTCTCCAAAAGACAATCCCAAAGCCAGGGCAACTTGCTGGATTGGCCACATAGAAACAAGAATACTAGAAATCTAGAAGGACAGGGAATGTGGAGTTAGTACTAGATGTGCGATTTTAGTTTGGGAAGATGATTGTGATGTTATACAACAAGGTAAATGTAATGCTATCAGCTGTACATTTTGAAATGGTTAAATGTTGTCACATACATGTTATCACCATAAAAATCACCAGAGACTCTCTAGCAGCCCAGTTCCAGAAAAGAAACACCATACAGTTATGAGGAGAGGTTAGGGGCCAGTACTGTGGCATAATAGATTAAGCTTCTTTCTGTGGCACTGGCATCCCATCCCACCAGTTTGTATCCCAGCATTCCACTTCCGATCCAGCTCCCTGTTTATGGTCTGGGAAAGCAGCAGAAGATGGCTCAAGTCCTTGGGCCTCTGTGACCATGTGGAACTCCTGAAGAAGCTCCTGGCTTTGGACTGATTCAAATCCGGCTGTTGCAGGCATTTGGAGAGTGAACCAGTAGATGGAAGGGTTTGTGCTCTCTTTCTCTCTCTCTCTCTCTGTAATTCTGCCTTTCAAATAAAAATAAGTAAATCTTTAAGAGGGAGAGTTTATATTCAACACAATGAAATCATAGACAACCTGAACAGAGCTGTTAGCATGAATACTAAGAAAAGCTCATACTCATGATTTTGCATTGCTTTTGAAGTAAATTGTTCTATATTTTAAAAGTTTATTTTCATATGTTTGAAAGGCAGCAAACAGAGATGGAATCACACACACACACACACACACACACACACACACAAACACACACACACAGAGCAAGGGAAAGAGAGAGCTCTTCGAAGTTTTGGTTGACTCTCCAAATGCCTGGAATAGCCAAGTCTGGGCAAAGAAGAGGCAAGGAAGCTGAAACTCCACCTGAGTTTTCCACATGGGTGAAAGGGGCTCAAGTACTGGGGTCACCTCTCGCACCCTTCTCACGTGCATTAGCAAGGAGCCAGATCAGAAGAGCTGAGCCTTAATGGTGCTCCCATATAACATGTTGGCATCACAGGCCATAGGTTAACCCACTGCACCAATATGCTAACCTCTAAAATAAAGTAATTTAAAAGGAAATACATAATTATTGAAATAAAATTTTCACTAGAGAGGTTAAATGGAAAATCAGTTGCAACTAAGAGAGAATTAGTAAACCAAAAAGCCTGAGTTGAGGAATTATGTGATAATGTGACACAGAGATAAAGAAATGTGACATATAAAAGTAATGCTAAGGGGTGGGTGGGAATGGCTCAATTGGCTATTCCTCTGTCTACAAGCACCAGCATCTCAAACGGGCATCAGTTCGTGTCCCGGCTACTCCACTTCCCATCCAGCTCCCTGCTTGTGACCTGGGAAAGCAGTAGAGGATGACCCAAATCTTTGGGACCCTGCAGCCACATAGGAAACCTGGAAGAAGCTCCTTGGCTTCTGGCTTTGGATCGGCTCATCTCTGGCCATTTTGGGAGTGTGCTAGCCAATGAAAGATCTTCCTGTCTCTCCTTCTCTCTATAAATCTGCCTTTCCAATAAAATAATTTTTAAAAACTGCTAAGATAAAAGCTGACAGAGATTCCAATATTAAATTAACAAATGTTCCAGATAAAGCACAGAAATAATGATTGACAGTCTTAGAGAATGTACAGAAGCTTGTTGAGGTTTAAGTTCCCATTGAATACCATGCTGTATAAGCAGAAAAGAATAATCACCTCTTAAGTCCTTTGAATAAAATCAAAGAGAGAAGAAATCTTAGCATCTCCCAGAAGAACACTGCCAATCTGCCATACAGAGAGAATCAGACTCCCCAATAACAGTAATAAACATATACACAGACACACACACACATACATATACATATATATATACTTATATATACACATAGGAAGTCCATGTGCCAAAGCCTATACTGAATTCTAGAGGAAATGAACAGATGAAAATGCCCAGGTCATAGTGTTGAGCCAACATGGGGATAGAAGTAGAAAGACAATGGGTAGGAAGATGGAAGGTGGCCTGTGCGGTAAGCAGGTGTCAGCTAACCCAACAGAAGGAGAGATTGTATGCAGCTAGAGGGATTGGGAAGGCCTTCACAGACCAGGCTGTGCAGAGTGCTGTGTACAGTAAAGCCACGATAATCAGTTCATTAACTTTCCCTCCAAACCTGCACTGTTATTCTCCCATAACCCAAAAGTTTTTCCTCTCTTCAGACTCATACCAGTCCAAGAGGGCATAAGTACATACTCAACACCCTCTTTTGTACTCTTTCAGAGCAGAAACTCACCAACAAACTTAGTGTCCCTTCATCAGAGACTGCTAAAAAGACTGAATTCTCCCAAGAACTGAAAAGCTGGGTGTCACTGGTGAAGAGCAGCGGGTCTAACTTTGATTTCACCAAAGTCTTCTTTTAAAAAAAATTATTTATTCTTATTACAAAGTCAGATACACAGAGAGGAGTAGAGACAGAGAGGAAGATCTTCCATCTGATGATTCACTCCCCAAGTGAGCGCAAGGGCCGATGCTATGCCGGTCTGAAGCCAGGAGCCTCTTCCGGGTCTCCCACGTGGGTGCAGGGTCCCAAAGCATTGGACCGTCCTCGACTGCTTTCCCGGGCCACAAGCAGGGAGCTGGATGGGAAGTGGAGCTGCCGGGATTAGAACCCGCACCCATATGGGATCCAGGCTCGTTCAAGGCAAGGACTTTAGCTGCTAGCCCACGCCGCCGGGCCCCAACAAAGTCTTCTTTGGTGGAAACACTGCCTTGTTTCACAGATGTTCCTGAACTCATAATTTGTTTCCTACTTTGAGAAGAAGAATGTGGTCGGACTCTCACCTCCTACTAGTGGGTTGTTGTGCCACGTGGCTCCTGCCACGTGGAAAGGATCAGGAACTGTAGAGACAAGAGCTATTTTGATCACAGAAAATGAAAAAGGAAAGAAAATCAAAGTTTGCAGCTTTTCAGTCCAATTTGCCCAAATTGGAATTATTAGTTAACCAGCCCTCTGAGTATCTTGCCTTCCCCAGGAAAAGAGAAGGTTTTAGGGGCAGCCAGGTGCCATGGGCCCAAATAATCCTGCCTCCATAAGCTTGCCACCACCAGAGAGAGACCTGTGTGTATGTCTGTGATAACATTCTGACTTCTGGAACAGACAAGGTGATAATGCAAAGCCAGCAAGTGGAGTGAGGCATCACTCACACTGTAGCAACAAGACTGGCCCGGAGACTAACAGGAAACAAGGGGAACAGGGAGACAGTGAAGGGAAGATTCCTAGGAACACCTCGTCATTCTTAGCCAGCCCGTGAGTCAGCCCAGCTTTGTATCAACTGGAAGGCCTCCAGTTATGGCGGGTGTGATGGTTAAGGCCACAGGAATATCATAAATGTGTTCAGAGATTTCTGTGCAAAGTGTTCAAGAGTCATAAAAGTAGCTTCTTAAAAATACAAATGTGAAACAGGTTCTCTTCAGATGATCGCAAGCTTTGAAGATTTTGGCACATTCCAGCTTTGTTCTCAGATATCTCCAGGGGGCATTAAAAATGTCATCCCATATAAAACTATGTATAACATTTTTCTCAAGTACCACTTTTGAAATACTCCATTGCCAAATGCGACTGGATCTTGGCATGCAATGTGACTCACAGTCTTGGAGGAAACAAATGTTATTTCCTAACACTATGTGTGGTTTCACAGAAGTATTATAAAGCACATATGATTTATGCATGATATGTATGGAAACATTAGGAAATCTATAGTAGGTTCCTTAAATCTGGGGATTTATGCATGCTTTCTTTAAACATTCTTTCAAATGGAGAAAAAGTATGTAAATCTTGTGTATTTGCCATGTGTCTTTTTTCCTAAAAGTTATTGATTTGAAAGAGTTCCAGAGAGAGGGAAATATATAGAGAGAAGGGCACAGATAACTTTTATTTAAATTTTTTCTTTTATATCCCATCAAATTTCCAAATGAGTTTACAATAAAAACAGGAAAACTGGGACTAGCATTGTGACATAATGACTAAACTGCCATCTATAGCACCAGCATGCCATACATGTGCTGGTTTGAGTCCTGGCTGCTTCACTTTCTTTTTTTTTTTTTAAGATTTATTTTATTTATTTTTTTTTATTGGAAAGGCGGATATACAGAGAGGAGAGACAGAGAGGAAGATCTTCCATCTGATGATTCACTCCCCAAGTGAGCGCAATGGCCGATGCTATGCCGGTCTGAAGCCAGAAGCCTCTTCCAGGTCTCCCACATGGGTGCAGGGTTCCAAAGCTTTGGGTCATCCTCGACTGCTTTCCCGGGCCACAAGCAGGGAGCTGGAAGGGAAGCGGGGCTGCCGGGATTAGAACTGTTGCCCATATGGGATCCTGGGGTGTGCAAGGTGAGGACCTTAACCACTGCTCCACCACGCCGGGCCCGTTGCTTCACTTTCAATCTAGCTCCCAGAAAATATGCCTTAGAAAGCAGCGGAAGATGGCCCAAGTCCTTAGGCCCCTGCATCCACATGGGAGACCCAGAGGAAGCTTCTGGCTCCTGGCTTTGACCTAGCCAGCCCTGGCCATTATGGCCATCTAGGGATTGGAGGATTGAGACAGCAGATGAAAGATCACTCCGTCTCACTCTCCATCTCTCTCTGTAACTCTGCCTTCCCAACAAATAGTCAATCTTTAAGAAAAAAAAAACTGTAAAAAAAAATACCTAGGAAGCAACAAATTAAAGGTAAGAGAAAATTAAACAAAGTAAAACTTTAAAAGTATACTAAAATCTTAAATGAAATCTTACTAGTTGGGTTCCTAGCATAGTCTGAATAACATTGACCAGATGATGGATTGTCAGGGTGGACCTGTTGAGAGTCAAGGACAATCAGGTACCCG